TACTTATTTCAGTTTTCAATAATTTTTATACGTTTTATTATTATTTGTTTTTTAAATTATGATTTACCATTATACAGAGTTTTCCTAAATATGTTATTAAAAAAATATTTAAAAAAAAAGATCTAGTTTGATTGATCTAAAGAAATTTAAGGTAGCGTTTGGTTTGTATTTAGAATTATGATTTGAGTATGAAGATATATTTTGAATTTGTGAATTTTTGAATTATGATTTGAAAATAAAAAATTTGTTTAGTTATGAGTTTTGAAAAAAAAAATTGAATTAAATTTTAAATGTGTTCAAACGTATTTTGAAAATGTTTACCAAACATGTTTTCAAAATGTGTTTTAAAATTGATTTGGAATTATAGTTTCAAAACTGTAATCAAACAAAGAGTTGATTATTAATGTGGAATCATGGTTTGATAATCAAACCAAACACAGCCTAACTGTTTAATTCATTAAATATTTTTAAAAAAATTTGAAACATATATCAAATTATATAAATGAATCATATTCAAATTAAAATACACATGGCAGTACTCTAAAACCATCAAGTGTTTGACATAAACAATATAAATGTACTTATTTTAATCATATCATCTTTTATTTTTCTATATATTTTTTTATAAAAAATTAAAATATATACTTATTTAGGTCAAGTTTGGCATGATTGAAAAAAGACAAAAAGTCAAAAAGTCATTATCCTATTTAAGTCACATCATCTTATTTAAGTCACATCACATCTCTAATACATCACTTCAAACTCAACCCAAATCCAACCCATATTTCATAAAAAATTAAAAAATATACTTATTTAGTCTTTCCAACCTAGGACTTAAATTATTGTAATTACCCCCAACCAACTTGTCCCATTTGTTCACTACTTGTCCTTTTTGCAGCATTTTTTTTTTGTACTGATTTGGTTGCTGGCTTTTTGTTTCCCCTGCCAGCCTGGATGCTCTAACTATCAACTCAAAAGTCTTTTTGGGCGAGAACACAAAAATCAATATCAACAGTGATAAGTAACTCAAAATTTTATAATTTAAATGATTCAAATAGTTTAAATCACTTAAAAAGATATCATTTTGAGTGTAAAATGATGTCATTTTGACAAATTTAAACTATTTGAATCACAAAATTTTGAACTACCAAATATTTTCCGAATCAATATACATAACACATTGAACTCTTGTTTTAGAAAAATTCTATTTATACATCGCATAAAATTTCAATATATATTATTTGTATTTTTGGACATAAAATTCTTCATATAATTGCATTTTGTTCAATTGTTTGTGTCCGTACAACTATTTTTTGTTTCAAAAATTTATATTCCATCAATATGAATAAAGTGTATTGAATTTTTTGTGGTGGACAAATAAAATTATCCCGTGATTTAAGGTGACCCTATTATTTTGAGGGGAATGTGAATGGACAAAAATGTCCTTGAAGGTCAAATCTTTGTTCTTCATTTAAAAGGTATTTTAATCCATTCATAATCTTTTATCTTGAAACAATCAGGGTTGTGCTTCCTTCTTCTCTATTCCTCTTTTTTGGCTGAAGTTAATCAACACATTGTTGTTGTTATTATTATTGAAGAATATAAATTGCTTAGGGTAGGGAGCTAGCAAGCTTAGAGCAAGCTAGCGGGCTGGGACTTGGGTCGAGCTCACAGGCTAGGTCGAACCCAAAAACACACGGTCTAGGTCCAAGCTCGGGGGTTCAATCTGGGCTCGAGCCTGGGCAGGCCGTGGGCGGGCTTTGGACTGATGGGCCATTTTTACACTCCTGGATCGACCTAATTTTTTTTTTTTTTTTATGAATGATACACATAAAACTCTATTAAAATAAATTAGTTTAAATTATCAAAATGAGACCGTGATGAGTTCTACAAGTTCGGACAGTACCTTCCAATCTAAATTTGGATCAAAGGGAAGCCCCGCCCTATTAAAAGCATGGTGCCTACCCACCCCAAAATGCGGACTCATAGAGATACGTTTCGAACCCAAAAACACACGGTCTAGGTCCAAGCTCGGGGGTTCAATCTGGGCTCGAGCCTGGGCAGGCCGTGGGCGGGCTTTGGACTGATGGGCCATTTTTACACTCCTGGATCGACCTAATTTTTTTTTTTTTTTTTATGAATGATATACATAAAACTCTATTAAAATAAATTAGTTTAAATTATCAAAATGAGACCGTGATGAGTTCTACAAGTTCGGACAGTACCTTTCAATCTGGATCAAAGGGAAGCCCCGCCCTATTAAAAGCATGGTGCCTACCCACCCCAAAATGCGGACTCATAGAGATACGTTTAATTTAAAGTGGCTACAATAATGTAAGTACAGAAAATGGTCCCCCTTATATTCCATACGTTGCACAACACGTGAATCACATGGAACACCCATGTTTATGTGAAGTGAACTAACTAAATTTCTACATCTACAAAAACTTGATCACATGAACACCTAACCTATCTTTCATTCAACATAAAGTTTTGGAATCAACAATCAAGAAGAACCAGTGTGCTCAAAGCAACCTTCCGGTCTTTTTTTTTCTTTTTCTTTTGTTTTTTGTGAGCTCACTTATTGTTAGCCTACACTCACCGTTTCTTAAAAGTTAAATTTGATAATGTTGTCAATTCTATTACATGTTTACTAAAGAAAAAACTTGTTTTTTTATATAAATAAAAGTAATAATCTTTGACATGATTTAATAGCTTGCCAACTCAGACAAATATAGTTCAATGGATGAAACTAACAGAAATACCACTTGTGGACGAATACAGCCCCTTTTCATTGCTTCCTGCCACCCCAGCCCCTCCCCTCCCCTTCCTATCCTGCAACCCCTTCCCCAAAAACTCCACCCATCGTAGCCACCCAAACTCCTCCCCCTCCCCGACCTCACCAGCACACGCCCCGCTCTATTGTTATGAAACAGGCTTGCTGCAAGTTATAAGTAAAAACTGTCAAAACCTTCATTTTATTCATTTGCGTTGAAAAAAAATTCAACTCCATCAGAGTAGGGAGTGTGAAGTCACAATAGAAGTTGTGTATTGGGGGTGCTTGTGGCGGCTAAGATTTCGAGGGAAAGGATAGCCCGGATTGGCAAGCAACTTGGGTCATGTTTGTTTGGACGGATTAGATTAGATTGGATTAGTATTCTTATAACTAATAGTCTTAGAATTACGAATCCCTTTAGATTGTGTATCATATCTTATGTTTAGACTGAGTTAAGATTATAAAGAAAGACTAATAATCCAGACTTTGACTTAATCATTCAATTTATATCTTACTCCCTCTGCGAGATTAAATAGTCCATTATATGTAAAATACCATATCCAAATGGATTGTTAATCCGTACTTCAATTGTTTAACCAAACATCGAATTAATAATTTTATTAGACTATTAATCCAATTCCAAACTCATATCCATCCAAGCAAATATAGCCTTGGGGTGCAAGGGAAGATTGGGGAAAAATATCTAAACTGGCATTTCGAGAATCAATCCGATTCCATCCCTATCCATTCCATTTGAAGAAAGAAAAGATCTGAATAATCCACGTTACAAATGAGAATCCAAACAATCTTTGGATTGATCAAAAAATCCTTTCAATTGATCCCAAAAAAAAAAAAAAAAGTTCTCTATTTTCCTAATATTGTCCCTAAAAGTTAGTATCAATTTTCGAAAAAAGACATCTCTCCCAAAATAGGGTATGCATCCAATTTCTCCACCCATCGTAGCCACCCAAACTCCTCCCCCTCCCCGACCTCACCAGCACACGCCCCGCTCTATTGTTATGAAACAGGCTTGCTGCAAGTTATAAGTAAAAACTGTCAAAACCTTCATTTTATTCATTTGCGTTGAAAAAAAATTCAACTCCATCAGAGTAGGGAGTGTGAAGTCACAATAGAAGTTGTGTATTGGGGGTGCTTGTGGCGGCTAAGATTTCGAGGGAAAGGATAGCCCGGTAGGATTGGCAAGCAACTTGGGTCATGTTTGTTTGGACGGATTAGATTAGATTGGATTAGTATTCTTATAACTAATAGTTTTAAAATTACGAATCCCTTTTAGATTGTGTATCATATCTTATGTTTAAACTGAGTTAAGATTATAAAGAAGGACTAATAATCCAGACTTTGACTTAATCATCCAATTTATATCTCACTCCCTCTGCGGGATTAAATAGTCCATTATATGCAAAATACCATATCCAAATGGATTGTTAATCCGTACTTCAATTGTTTAACCAAACATCGAATTAATAATTTTATTAAACTATTAGTCCAATTCCAAACTCATATCCATCCAAGCAAACATAGCCTTGGGGTGCAAGGGAAGATTGGGGAAAAATATCTAAACTGGCATTTCAAGAATCAATCCGATTCCATCCCTATCCATTCCATTTGAAGAAAGAAAAGATCTGAATAATCCACGTTACAAATGAGAATCCAAACAATCTTTAGATAGATCAAAAAATCCTTTCAATTGATCCCCAAAAAAAAAAAAAAGTTCTCTATTTTCCTAATATTGTCCCTAAAAGTTAGTATCAATTTTCGAAAAAAGACATCTCTCCCAAAATAGGGTATGCATCCAATTTTTTAGAATGAATTTGGACACAGTAAGGAAATTGTTCAGACACCGTAAGGAAGAGTTTGCGAACAAAAATTGCTTTCCTACAATACTTTTTTGAGAACACATTTTAAAAAAAATATATTACTATAACAACTCAGTTTGCTGCATTAGCCGCATTCATCAAACATAAATAAAGCTACTATCGAGTTTCAAAACTGTCTCACATTACATTTGACAGCATGTGAATCTCTCTCTCTCCCATAAACAGAAACAATTGCATAGCCAGCCGGATAATAAATTCCAATTCTAAAATTTGGAGAACGGAATCCCCAAATTGCCTGATCTAGATCTAGTATAAAATGGCATACAATGAATTACAACAGTGAAAATGACCTTGAAAATATAATCCAATTGTAACATTTTAATTTATATTCAGCCAAAAATTGAAGCAGAGAGACCATGAATTTGCTGCATTGCTTCTACTTGCCCGCTGGAAATGAAGAAAATAATGAAAAATATTTTTTTAGGCAAGGAAGGAAAATAAAGAAGATACAACATCGAGATATAGAAAAATATTAACCTGGTATGTGGATATACTCCGAATACAAACTTTAACACGTCTCAAGCTTCTTTCCTTGTAATCCTGACATTTGACAAGCAAAGAGCATATTTAAAAATCAGCCTTCCAAGAAAAAAATAAACCAGTACTAGAAGCTCAGAACGCATGATACATGGTCTGTTTATATCTAGATATGCCCTTGCAAAATAAAAATATATATATATATCTAGATATGCCAGCCGATAGGCGAGACCAACAACACAGCTTGTTTAATGGAAATTACTAAAAGACACAGCTCTTGATGGTTAGAAATTTAAGTCCGAGATAGACATAAACACTCAAATGGACTCCAAACAAGCACACTTGGGGAATTGACTTTGTATTTGGACAAGCTTTTGAACATTGAACCAAACAAGTAAATAACATAAAACACTACGTAAGCATATTATCTAAAATAATTAAAAAACTTCACAATCACACTTAGACCCCATGTTACATGGACTTAGGTACGATTGGGTGTGGGTGCTTGTCCAAGCATCAGATTTTCCTAAAGCTAAATCTTAATATATTGGAACATGCATCCAAAAGTTGGGTACGAGTACCGGAACACATGTTAAACAATTAATATATATTGCACTTTGTATAATATTCTTAGATTAAATGGGATTTAGGAAAAATATGGAATGCATACTTCTAATTCGTGTGAGAAGCTAACATGTTTCTTTACTAACAAATGTGAGTGTCTTCTTCAAATATCACATAAAATTAGACAATCTATCAGTGTAGAAATTGGGTACGTGTGTTAAGACACATATCCTGCACCGTTATGCTAGTCATATCAAGTGGATATGAGTATACTAAGGGAAATAGAAGAGTCAATGTAACACAGCTTAGACCACATATATGTACGTGTTTGTATATAATCAGTTTGCCCTTATTTGAAAACCCTTATTAAATATCAGACGACAAGCAACACAAGATTTGGACAACTCCGTTTAACATCAGGCAAATAGTCTGTTAAAACATGATACAATGCTCACACAAGCCAAACCCTAAATAGTGGTGACTGACATGTATGCATGGATCAGATCAATAGTCCGATTCAAATACTGCAAAGTCAAACTCCACATTTCTCACCTGAAACAGTAAATTCCAAGGGCTGCTGTTATTTCGTGAATGACTGTAGTGGCAAAGTGCAGATAGAGTGCCACTGAGTCCAGCAAAAGAAAATTGTCAGCCACAAAAAATGACAAATAACATCAAGCATATAGTTGTATTAAGAAAGAACATCAACCATGGCAAAAGAAAGAATCCTGTGAACAGAATAAAAAATTTATAGAACATAATAGCAAGCATAGTACTAAGAACAGAATAGGATTTTTCTTTCCATAATCACAGAATAATGGGATTCTGAAGGAAAAAAGAAAAAAAGGATGGAAAAAATCAACATACCTGTGTACGCAACATACAAAAGAAGAACCCATCTCTCATCAACTAAAGGAATTCTGCCACAAAGCACAAATTTTCATGAGTGGTGAGAGAATCCTGATCCTAGAATACCTCTAATGACAAGCCAAAGGTACTGTGTACTACCAATTCTCTATTAGAATAGATCAAGCCCATTGGCATTCATTAAACTTAACCTGATAAATAAAGATATCACATACCCATCATTCAGCCAGGCAGTGAGACTATTTGCAATAGCGAAGGGAAGATACAATAAAGACTGCAAAAGAAGTAAAAAAAACTCATATCAAAAGTAACACAAAAGGTGTGCAAATCTTGGGATTTCATCCAACAAGGGAAGATAAAACATGGACTTCAAAGTGTAATGCAGAAATTCACAACAAAAGTCATCAACAAAATCAATGTAAACCTTAAGATAATAAGATGTTATTAGACGGTTCAAAATGGAAACCTCAAAGGTAAACTTGTTTCTTAGTCTTGTCACTCATATGTTGCAGAGTTTACTGGGGGAAATGCAAATATTTTAAATCTCCATCAAGAAAGAAATTTGAGACGAGAAGAAAACTATTAAAAACTATGGCCGAATTCAAAATAGCAAGGATCTTTCAGAAAATTATATATGTTACTAGTTTTGTCAAAAGAAAAGATTTGAGAACAAAAAAAATCCTAAATTTATTAGAGAACTCTGAAAAAAAAATAAAAGATGCAACATACCATGCACATGTTAGTTTTTAAGCCCTTGGGTTCATCACACAAGTGAGCCAGAATCATCCTCCCCTGCCAAAACAATCTTTCCTTTAGAAATAATTTGATAACAAATTAGCTAACACAAGAATATAATTTAATGAGAATTTTCAAAATCTGCACGAGCAAACTGGGAAAACATGAAACTTAACAAATCAAACACAATAAACAAACTACAGGACAAGGTTAGAAGAAAATATAAATGCTAACAAAAGTTTTAGCAATCACTGAAGTATTTTTTCTTTGCTTTTTTTTTTTAAAAATGCTTATATGTAGTATCTTTTGTACAGAAAATTAAACTTCATCCATTTGGATGTCAAAGGCAGCAGGAAGACAATGAAAAATAAGTAGACAGAGGCACACTATAAAACATTATTAACATGCCAATCAATAGTTGGAAAAAGTGTCCCAAATATTGTGGTGCAATGCACTTCAGTTACAAATTCTTGGATTACTTTGCTTTGAGCCAATTGCTACATATGTATATAAAATCATAATGGAACCAACCCAATTGTATTTGTGCAATTTAATTTTATTGTACTTCATTTCCTTCACCTTTAAACAAACATCAAAGATTTCGTATGAATAGCAAAAAGCTCAGGATGCCAAGCATAAAAACAGAGGTTAGAGTCCAAAAAAATGTTGATTGACTACTCATGTAACCTTCCCTTATGTGAATCAACTATAATCTCCATGAATTAGATATAGAGCAATTGAGATCAAAATGTTTAAAATTGACAAAAGATATCAAGCTTTAAGGATTGGATCAAGACAGATATCTCACCACAAGAAACCCAAATGCGAGTCCAGTACCCACTATAACCAAATGTGGATAGTTCCCAGTTATATCATATGGAGACAAATAATCCCTGCACATGACATAAGAAGCAGAATGAAAGAAATATGGTCAAATAAGATCCTCAAGCTAAGCATGTGAAAAACAAATAGCCGAGATAGTTACATACCACACCACAACTCCCACCAAGAGCACTGCAAATGGGTAAAGCTGACAAGAAACAGTGACGACATCCATTGAGCAACTTGAAAAATAAATAAAAAGAAAAAACAGATGAAGCATTGAGTAGTAACAGGTTTACCATTGCCAAAGCCAGTAGCATGCTTCCTTTCCTTGCCTGAACAACCTTATAAACATTGTACACACTGCACAAGAACAGAACACCATGTAAAGCAAGGTCAATCTGATCATCACACAGGAACAGTTTAGAAGATGAGCATGTAAATTTTTGCCATTAAGAATATGAAGAACTATTTACTTGAATGAGATCGTTGGAAGAACAGCAAAAGCTATCATTAGAACCAGCGTAGCTCTGTTTGTTGGGATTTCTGAAGTCAAAAGAATAGATAGATAAACAAAAAATGAAAATAATAAAATAAAAGCTAGTCAATTTTCTAAAAATGTGCTTTGAAAACAAAATAACAAAAAAGGTTCCTTAAAAAAGACAACTAAAAAGACATGATAATGTAAAAGCACAACTATCAAGAATTACGAATTTGCCAATTTAAAGGAGATAATGAGCCACGAATATTAAATAAAACAAAATGAGCAATAGATCACAATTTGGAAGATAAGATATCAAGACAAACAACCACACTCAATTAGTACAGATTAATGTGTGTTTGGGAAGGGAAAGATTGAGTATACACCTAACCTTTGGCATAATGCACAAAGTGGTGATCCCAAGACTTGAACCCATAACCTCAAGGTTATTAGGCCAAGTCTTAACCATTGAACCAATGGTTAAGACAAACTTAGAAATTTTTTTCTTTTCTTTTCAAGAAGCATGCCAATCGCCAGTAGCTACCAATATGTAAGGAACCGTGAAGACACCAGTCCAACCCTTTTCTCCAGACAACAGTAATCAAGCTAAATAACTGAAGTTCTGGAATCTCAATGATTGTAGGTTTGAAACACCAGAAATCTCAAGAAACAGGATACAGTCACTTAAAGGAACGTATGTAACGTAGAAGAATGAAACTTCAGTATGCCATCCTAGCCAGCTGAGAATGTATATAAAAGGAGTGCATAAATCCTAGATGCAAAAGGCAGCTGCACCACGATGATAGGGCAATCTTAGATTCATTGATCCAACAAAGCACAAGGAATCAGATCATGTTATCGATTCAGTTGCATTGTGAAGAAATTTTAATAATACCTTTCAGAGAAAGGCATAACCATCTCAATTCAAAAATAACACATACAAGTTCAACAACTTTTTTGCAATCTGATATTTCTAGTAAGTCTGTGAAGCAAGTAGGATGGAACATGCTATAAGAGTAGAGGACAAACATGCAAACTCAAAGACGACACTTCCCTCCATATAAAGCCCACCTAAAAATATCCTGTTCTATCAATGAGTAAATTTTTAGTCGCCTAGGTGTTTCTAGGCATCTTGTTCTATCCATGAGTCATACCATTTACCACTGGAACCCAACTCAAAAATGGCAGAGACTTTCCAAATTGTTGAGCCCACCACTCAGCACCTGAAAAAGAGATAAAATTAATATTATAGTGAAATACAGCTAAAAGAATAAAAACCTAATCAATGAATGAGTTTTTTAGGAACTATTAATTGGTTAAAATATTATGTCTATAATGAATGCCTTAAATATGTAAAAGTGCTACTTATCAATGTACATATATGCAAAAGGGTCATACCAACTATAGCTGTAAAGAAATGGACCAGATATATCAGCATCAGACCCTCCGTAGGCCCATTTATTGCAGGCAAAATAAGGGTATTGGTGAAATAGCTACACAATGAAAAAAATATTAATAACAATAAAATAAATGGCTTCCCATTGAAAGAAATCAATAAACTGAAGGCAAAATGTTATAATCATAAGTTGAATCAAAAGCAACAGCGTCAATGCCATAAAGCAAATTTTCCATCATCATCAAAAACTCGAACAATCTAAATGAACATGACGCATGAACCAATCATTTATTAGCCCCTCAAAGAGGCAATGCACACAATACATTACCTTGTTCATACTGCAAACATGTTCACCTTTTCACGTATTAAGAAATCATTTGAAAACCGACAATTAGACAAAATCCATATTCCTTTGCAATTACTTTAGAAATGGACAGGTAACAAAATGACTTCTGTGCAAGAATGAATCATCAAAGATGTGATAAGCCAAAATGTAATGAAGCAGTATTAGTTGGACCACTTACTGCTCCCATGTTGCACAATAAAATGGAACTGCTGAAATCACCCAAAACCAGAAAGTAGTCCTTCCACACATAGCAGTGCTCCCAAAGGCCAAGGCCTCAAACTGATAAACATCATTAACAAAACATGAAGGACTTATACTTGCCATGATTACCTGAAGATAAATAAATAACAGTAGTACATACCGCACAGGCAAGTGCATCACATCCTGCAGTAGTTAACAATGCCAAGAAACATATTCAATCAATATCCTACACTCATATGCAAAATAAAGATAAACTGGATGAGAAAAAAAAATTACCATGATCAAAAAGCTCTCCCAATGGACTTGATGAATTTGTCCGTCTTGCTTGCTTCCCATCAACAGCATCAAAAGTCTTGCAAGGGTTTAAAGAACAAAACAGAGATTACTGAAATGGAGGAAATAATGCGAAGATGTATCCAATAAAATAGGCACCATGAAGAGTTAGACCATCAGCCAAATGTTTATTTTCTCTATCCCAACCTTAAAAATGTGTATGAGCAACAGTTAGTCATATATACAGACATCACAAAAATATATTTATTCCTATAAAATCTCCTCTATAGTTGAGCAACAGCAGTTAGAAGTGATAACGTTCTAACTCTTTCTAGCATAGAATTGTATTGCAAATCAAGCAGCCTTAATACAGCTAGAATGTGAATATGTATCTACATGTGTGAATACATATACGTATGTGCAAAGAGGCCCCTCAATACCATCACATCAAATTTAAAATTTTCAAAGCTGCATGTAAATCAGAATCTGAAGACAGGGCAAAGCACAATAGGGCCAAGAAAATAGACAAGGCAGAGCCTGATTGTCATTTAACAGAACTTCTAAATATATCCCATAATCAAAAACCAGTGGAAAAAACTGTATTTCACCTGACTATTGCCTCCAAACATCCATAACTCACCAAGCACGAGAGGTCACGGATTCAATGACTACAATTGAACATTTAAAATCTAGGAAGGTTACCCTGACTATTGGGTCAACTTGCCATCCCTTTGCATGTATAAGTTTCTCCAACAAACACAATCACTTAGGAATGGCAACGGGAAGTTCCCGATGGCAGAACTTCCCCCCGTCCCCGTCCCCATCCCTGACGGGGAACCAACTACCGCCCCCACTCCCGCCCCGTAATGGGGATCGGGTTTCCCCGACCCCGAAAATCCCCGGCCAAAAATACAACATCATCAAAAGAAAAAAAAAAATCAACATCTCAACAAGAGATCATCACCACCAACAGATCTGAAAAAAAAAATCAAAACAACAGATCTTCATCACCACCATCAAGAACATCAAAAAAAAAAATAATCAAAACAACAGATCTTCATCACCAACAGATCTGAAAGCAACATCTCCATCACCAACAGATGATCTTCATCACCACCAACAGATGATCTTCATCACCACCAACAGATCTGAAACCAACGGATCCATGTGAGAGAGAGAGAGAGAGAGGAGATCTGTGCGAGAGAGAGAGAGAGATACCGTGTGGAGACAAGAGAGGGGGGTCGGGGCTCGCCGTCTCAATACCATCACATCAAATTTAAAATTTTCAAAGCTGCATGTAAATCAGAATCTGAAGACAGGGCAAAGCACAATAGGGCCAAGAAAATAGACAAGGCAGAGCCTGATTGTCATTTAACAGAACTTCTAAATATATCCCATAATCGAAAACCAGTGGAAAAAGCTGTATTTCACCTGACTATTGCCTCCAGACATCCATAACTCACCAAGCACGAGAGGTCACGGATTCAATGACTACAATTGAACATTTAAAATCTAGGAAGGTTACCCTAACTATTGGGTCAACTTGCCATCCCTTTGCATGTATAAGTTTCTCCAACAAACACAATCACTTGCTGCACATCGTAAACAAACTACAGCCATGTATAAGTTCCCCTCTATAGTCTGTGCAAGTTACTAGATTATAGGATCAAATTGGTGTCCCTATATATAGGCACCCAAACAATTTCTTATAAGAGTTGGCTACATTTTTTTCTTTTTATTGAAATTTAAAGCTTTGTGTATCCAGAATAACCATGAAACAAACGGAAAAATTGATTAAAACGCGATCTTGGATCAAATGAAAATCACATAAGTCGTCACATGCCTTGTGTTATTCAATTTCTGGTTTCTACTATAGTCAATAAACACAGTATTGTCTTCCCAAGTAAAAAATCCTTGAAGGATACTAATCAATAATCATGATACAATGAATAGCATGAAACTGTACAATTTCTATCTGCACTAAATACAAAACACAATAGAGACCAAAGAGCAGCCATTACAGTTGTCATACTATGAAATAGAATGAATAGCATGAAACTGTACAATTTTTTTCTTTCAAAAATTCAAAAGCATTTTTTTTTTTTTTCCATATTTGTGTTTTCTAATTGTTTTCAAAAATAACTTTCAGAAATAGATCGCCAATATGAAATAGAAGGAAATTTTCTTAAAAAAAAACACACACACACACAACCCCCCCCCCCCCACCCAAAAAACCAACCAAAAAAAAAAACATGAAATAAGACAAGACTGAGGGCACCCAATGGATTTCATTCATGAAGCTAACCAAGTAGTCAAGACAAGCCAACATGCACAAAAACTGCAAGCACATAGCAGGACCAAAGCATAAGATACACTGACTGGGAAAAATTTAAGCAAACCTGATATAAGAAGAGAAGTAATCCATGGGCAAAATGAACCCATCTAGGAGGAGGCGAATCCAACTTAGGTGAATATATCTGCAACACATTTAAATGCATAAAAATGCCACTTGGCTTGAGATATTTTGGAACTACATTGAAATTCAAACACAGGAAGGAAAAAAAAAACTACTTGATTTTCTATCAGATTACCAAAAAATGTTTAGCTGAAAATTAGCTCAGTCATCAGTCAAAGTGACTACTTGACAAACACATACTTTCTTAACTTAAGAAATTACAGAAATCATGTACTGAAAAATTATTAAAGATTCAGGGCATTAATACTAAATGCAAAATTTTATGCGATTACTACCATTAGCACAGTTCTGTGACCTACATCAGCACTACATCCTAGAGATGACCCAGAAAGATATTGCATCAATTATGAGAAATTCCAATTAATCCCTTTGGAAGTTTAACAGTATTACCATTGTTACCTTCTTCAATGATGATGCAAATTATTCATTATATAACATTTCGCGATTTGTCAAAAAAATAATTATAGAAAATTCTGTAACCCTTTTCAGGACCACTTTAAAAACCAAAAAAAAAAAAAGAATTAATTACGTGTATTTTCCATTCAAAACAAAGACTAGTAGTGAATCCAATGAATTTTCCACAAAAGAAATATAATCAAAGCATGAACATGAGCTTCCACTCCCAGTATTACAGAGCAGGTTCGACTCACAGGAATCAAGCTCTCCACAATAACAAAAAGTACAAAAAATAACAATTAAAAAAATAAAATAAAATAAAAAGTGGGAGAAGGTTGCCTACCTATTACCTCTCCCAACCCTACTAGAAGCGGCAGCCTTGAGCATTGGGTACAGCCTTTTAGGTTACCATAACAAAGCTAAATCTAGTCTAATGCATTTCTTGGAGAATTTGCTTTTTTTTATTTTTGGTTAACATATGAACAAGTAGAATTTTAGCATTGGAGCTCTGAAGTATTGAAAAAAATTTGACACTTCATCCAAATTAAAGATGCCATAGGAAATGAGGAAGGCTGCAAAGAAGAAGTGTGAGAGCAAGTGGAAAGGCATGATTGCCCACAGCGCAACCCAAAATGTGGCGCTATATAGAACTGAATGGTGAAAGGAAGAATGATTGCTAATGAATAGTTGATAATTAAGCATTTGCTAAGTTGGTCAGAGATCTTTTGATTTCTCTGATAAGCCCCCTTTTCTTGGAATATTTGATATACATAACGACCTTTAGTTCAACAATCCTCTTGTCCAATAACAAGGAGATTAAAATTAGTCTTCCACGGATCTTGGAAATACAGACCACAAAAAACTTACCATTAAGAGGAACAACATGACATCAGCTTTAAAATGAACTTACAATTTTCTCATCAATCAAGCAACACAAAGTAAAACTTAACAAGAACTAGAAAAACAAAATCAATACTAGTGAGAAAAAAGGAATTTATATATAAATATATAAAAAAGTAACAAAGCAAGACAGAGATGTTATGGATAAAATAGGACTGTAGTAATGAGAAGCTAATACATAGTGAATTAAAAATAAATAAATAACTCACATAACCAAGCAATGCAGATATGACCAAGAACATGAATCCTGTAAGGGTAATCTGTAAAAAACAGTGGCATTACCAATGAGTAAAGAATCAAGTAAAAAATCATCCTAAATTGAAATTTACATATCAACACTGGATAAGATAGATATTATACCATATTTGGTCTGGGAAAGCATCCACATGTGCAAACACACACATCCAAAAGATTTAAAAAAACAAAGCAAAACAAAACAACAAAAAGAAGAGTTAGTGATGTTTAGTGAAATCTTGTAGGTCTTACACTGATAAACATTAACAAGAGATAAGCAAGAAGAACCACAAGTCACACTGGCTACGTTAAAGACCATTCATGTACAACAAGAAGTTTCTAATCAAAATATTTGAATCACCCGTAGGATTATTTGTTATACCAGCTTTGGTGAGGAAGCATTCTATGAACAAAACAGACCTATGTTCAATAGTTACAACCTCAATTAGTAATACAAGCTATAAAGTCTAAAAAGTAAAGCAACAGAATCATGCCACGTAGATGAAAACTTCACACTTCAAATTAAAATAGTTATCTAAATTCAAAATCTTCTTTTTTATCTTTTTCATTGTGTTTTCTTATAACAAGATGCATTAAACAGCCTATATCAAGATTCTAAGCTATGTTGACAACTCTTTATGAAAGAATCAAGGGGAAGTCTACGGTGTACCCCCCTAAAAAGAGGGACATTGTAATAAAGTTACATTTTTTTTGTGGTGAAAGTTACGAATGTTTGTGGTATGTGTTATGCCAAGTTACGAAAGACAAATTTATGGTGTGCACCCTCAAGTGACAGTCATATTTTTTGTAATTATCATCAAGTTACAAATGTTTGTGGTATGTATTATGTTGTGCCAATTTGTAGTAAAAGTTGATGTGCAACCTAAGATGAGTCAAATTTTTTGTGGTGAGCAAAAAGTTATACTTTTGGGGTGAAAAAAAAATTATGTCATTATATGGTTTATGTTACAAAATTCTGTGACTTTATTACGAAGTACATATCATATGCCAGCCTTTTAGGGGTGCCCATAGTAGCATCTCCCATGCAAGAAAATCCACCCCCCACACCCCCTCAAGCCACCCACTTACAACAAATGGGTCAAGCACAAATAATTAAAAATAAACTTGATGATAATTACAAAAAATAAAATTAAATTTTAAAAAATAAAATGAATTATCACTACAGTAAGACTACAGATTTTCTTTTATTTTTGCACAACTGAAGCATAATGGACAGGTAAAAAATTTGACAATACTTTTCTTATTCTTTGTTTTTCTTATGAAAACGCAAGTACATTCACAAATTCAAACCCTAAAAAAAACAATGATGAACAAATTGAATACTTACGGCATCCAAAGTGGGAAAAAATTAACAGATCGACGCCAAAAGGGTTGCAATACATATTTCGCAACATATGAATGATCCACTCCACTGTACTTGTATCTATGCAGCGCAGCAACACCATGAGCCCCTATATATCCCATTGCCTGTACATATACATATACATATATATATATATACACAAAACAGTTTCAGAAATCGATCTAAGCATACATGTATAACCAGAAAACCAATAGATTTGAATACAAGCATTTACATCAAATGAATCGAAAGAATCAGCAAAAGAGTAATCTTGAAATGGAAAAACCAGGGATTACAGAGATTTGCATGAGACGAATGGAATTGAAAATTATATTAAACAATAGAGAGGAAATTTGTCTACCGAATTTGAATCGGAGAGAGTTGAATTGCAGAGACTGAGAAAGGTGATAGAAAGATCAAAGATTTGGGATTGTGTGAAGAGAATCTGAATGAGTTGAGTACACAAATATAAAAAAAATGTGTCTGTCTACACAATGTGTATATATAAAGGTCAATTTTTTCTCTCTCGTGTAAAGTGGAGGAATAAAGAGGCGAATGTTACTATTTACCAAAAGTTTTGGGGAACAATTCAAAATTGTTACTTTCATTTGGTTTTTAAATAAATACACTCTATAATTTTATTTTTTATTTTTTTTTCTGGGTTGGTAATTGTTGTTATATTTAACAGATAATTGCAAAAAATGGTATTAACACAAAATATTTTCAAAACCATGGAAGTACAAGAAATATACCCCTATTAGATTGTTGTGGATTGGGAAAAAAAAAAAATTAGTTGGTTTCTTGAAGTTAGGACTTTTAGCTTGAGATTAAAAAATTTGTTTTGGTTGATTTTTTTAATTTTTTGATTTTTTTTAAAAGAAAAATGTGATATTTTATTTTATTAATTTGTTAATCTATTTTGTCTTCTAAGGATTAATTTAGTCCCAACCCAACTCAATCCACATAGCCAAATGCTCTTTTTCATCTCTTTGCAATTATTTTAAATTTATAATATTTTTATGCAATTGTTCCTATATTTAATTTTAGACAACTAAAACAAAATTTTAGATGTATTTATAAAAAAAATATGGTGGAATAATAATTTTCATTCATAATATAAATAAGGAAAAATTAGTCTAAAGTCTCTCTCTCACTTTTAGTAATGTATAAGATCCACAATATTATTTTATGATGTTTAAGATCCCTCAATTTGACCTCTCAAATCAAACCTCTTTCTCTTTCTCTGTCTTCCCTGTTTCTCCCTTCAATGGCCGCTCTAAATTCCACCGGAGTTCATCATCGTCGTCGTCTTCTTCTCCAACTCTCTCTCCTCCATCAAGCGAAGCTCAAAGCATCCTTATCCATATACGAATTCACCGATATCGGAATCGAAGCGTACTGTGACGAGAAGACAACCCAATGGTGGAAGTGAAAGACGATACCATTTCTCAGAAACAGAGCCGTTTGTGAATGGTGGTTTGGAGTTGAGATCGTAGTCCAAAAGGCTTTGAGTATCAATTTCCATTAGCAACACCAGTAGCCAAACAAGCCCTAGAAATTCACGAAGATATATACATGTATATATAGATATAGAGAGACAAGGTGTTGGTTATCATAGTGAAGCTTCAGAGAGTTGATTAAAAATGTAGCTTTTTGGTGGGTTTTTGAGAGATGTTATTTTGAAGAACGCAATTAAGGCATATGCACAAACACATAATCGGAAATGATACACATAAGTTGAATTTTTCTAATTTGAACTTAAGCTACTATGCTTATTTGAAAATAATAAATATTTTTTTCCCATCAATTCTAAGTTTATCTTGGTCACTCAATTGTTTGTTTTGCTGTGTTTGGCCAAATAAATGAGTCAACCACCTGTGCATCATGGTTCAGGAAGCAAGTGATGAGCTTAATTGGTAGTGTAGATGTTGAATTTGAAAACATCATTGTGTATCTCTGTGATTATGTTTCTCTGCCATATGTAATTATGATGTGTGTCTGTGTATGTCTGTTTTGGATCAAATGCACCTCCAAAGAAAATCAAAGAAGCAGCATGGCAGATAAAATTAAAGAAGCAATATGGCAAAGAAAATCAAAGAAGCAATCTGACAGAGAAAATTAAAAAAGCAACATGGTAGAGAAAGTCAAAGAAGCAACATAGCAGAAAAAATTAAAAAAGCAACATGGCAGAGAGAATTAAAGAAGCAACATGACAGAGAAAATCAAAGAAGCAACCTGGCAGAGAAAATTGAAAAAGCAGCATGGCAGAGAAAATCAAAGAAGCAACCTAATAGAGAAAATTAAAAAAGCAACAAAGAAACAATCTGACAGAGAAAATTAAAGAAGCAACATGGTAGAAAAAATCGAATAAGCAACCTAGCAAAGAAAATTAAAGAAGAAATATGACAGAGAAAATTAAAAAAGCAATTTGGCAGAGAAAATTAAAGAAGTAACATGGTAGAGAAAATCAAAGAAGCAACTTGACAGAGAAAATTAAAGAAGCACAATGGCATAGAAAATCAAAGAAGTAACTTGGAAGATAAAATTAAAGAAGCAACATGGCAGAAAAAAATCAAAGAAGCAACATGGCAGAGAAAATCAAAAAAGTAACTTGGCAGAGAAAATTAAAGAAGTAATATGGCAAAGAAAATCAAATAAGCAACTTGGTAGAGAAAATTAAAGAAACAGCATGGTAAAGAAAATCAAAGAAGCAACTTGGCAGAGAAAATTAAAGAAGCAACATGGCAAAGAAAATCAAAGTAGCAACATGGCAGAGAATTAAAGAAGCAACATGGCAGAGAAAATCAGAGAAGCAACCTGACAGAGAAAATTAAAGAAGCAACATGGCAGAGAAAATCAGAGAAGCAACTTGGCAGAGAAAATTAAAGAAGCAACATAGCTGAGAAAATCAATGAAGCAACCTAGTAGAGAAATTAAAGAAGCAACATGGCAGAGAAAATTAAAGAAGTAACATGGCAGAGAAAATTAAAGAAGCAACTTGACAGAGAAAATTAAAGAAGCACAATGGCATAGAAAATCAAAGAAGTAACTTGGAAGAGAAAATTAAAGAAGCAACATGGCAGAAAAAATCAAAGAAGCAACATGGCAGAGAAAATAAAAAAAGTAACTTGGCAGAGAAAATTAAAGAAGTAATATGGCAAAGAAAATCAAATAAGCAACTTGGTAGAGAAAATTAAAGAAATAGCATGGTAAAGAAAATCAAAGAAGCAACTTGGTAGAGAAAATTAAAGTAGCAACATGGCAGAGAAAATCAGAGAAACAACCTGACAGAGAAAATTAAAGAAGCAGCATGGCAGAGAAAATCAGAGAAGCAACCTGGCAGAGAAAATTAAAGAAGCAACATAGCTGAGAAAATCAATGAAGCAACCTAGTAGAGAAATTAAAGAAGCAACATGGTAGAGAAAATTAAAGAAGTAACATGGCAGAGAAAATTAAAGAAGCAAGATGACAGAGAAAATCAAAAAAATAATCTAGCAGAGAAAATTACACATGGCAAAGAAAATCACACAACTAGCCAGAGAAAACAAAGAAGCAACATGCCAGAGAAAATTATACATGCCAGAGAAAATTACACATGATAGATAAAATTAAACATACTAGAGAAAATTACACTAGGACTTTACTTGATGGTACTCAGTTCGATTTGAGTCGTGATAGGGGAACACCATTTAAGTTCACTCTTGGCCAAGGTAAGGACTTCGTAATCTTTTCCTTATTTGATAGATCGTTATTGATTGTTCAACTAGAAAAGATTGTGAGAGGAAATTTCTCTGGGTTTACAGAGGGAGAATTTCTCTAGGTTTAGAGAGGGGGAATTTCTCTGGGCTTAGAGAAGGGAAATTTTTCCAGAGAGAAAGGAAGGCCAGAGAAGGAAAATTTCTCTAAAAAGAAGAGAAGGTCAGAGAAATTTATCTGGGTTTGATAGAATTTCTCTAGTCCAGAATTTCTCTGGATAGAATTTCTCTAGCAAGTCTAGAGAAATTCCTTCTCTGGATGAAATTTCTCTAGATCAGATTGAGGAACCTTAGATATCATGAAAATATTAGATATCATTTATGCTATAAAATCTTAATACCAAGGACCTTAAAAAAAAAAAAAAAAACCCTATAAATAATTAGGTTCAATCAGTACTTGAAAGTTAACATAAAAATAAAAATATACACAGAATGGTGTATTTGAATCGTTCGTCTATTACTTTTAAAATTAAAAATTTATTAGGATGCTTCTTAATATGAGATAAAAATGCAAAAAAGTTGTACAAATAATATGAGAATGGCATTTTTATTATTATCAAACATAGTGCTGCACTTTTTGAATTTTAATAAATCAATGAGCAACATTACTTATTCAAAAACTTTACTCAAAATTTTGCTTAAAATTATTATCATACAATTCAGATTTAAGATATGAACTTGTAAAGTAAGTCACTCCACAGTTTTGGGTAATTGATTTGTCAAAATTCATGAGCATAAGTAACTTATGAAATTTTTATATAAAATTTATTTGTAAAACATTACCTTATAAAATCACCACTTAATAAAACTTATGAAAAGACACCTTGCTTGATTTAAAAAATAATAATTTTGTTTGGCGAATTCTTTTAATATTTTATTTTTTATTTTTTAGATCACATTATCTAAATGTACCTACAAAATAGATATTTTTATATTTTTTCGTATTTAATTTTTTTTAATTCATTCATGATATTATTTTTAGTGCATATAAATTAAGTGCATATAAAAATTAATTAATTAAAATGTAAAAGAATCACTAACAAAAAAATACAAAAAATAAATATTAAAAAAATATAAAAAATTAGTGAAACATTCCTCTCTAACTTTGGGTAGTATGAGAGATCTAATATATTTTTTCTTATTAGTTAAAGTCTCTTAATAATATTATTAGAGAAATTTCAGTTTGTTACAAAAAAATTTCACAAATTTCTCAGTGAAATTTATCTTTGAAGAGCTAAAAGTTCTCTTACAAAAAGACATTTCTCTGTGAAAATATTGAGCAATCCTAACAATTATAAAAATATTACATATTGTTCATCTTATAAAATTCTAATATCAAGGATTTTAAATTAAAAATTTCTTAAAAACAGTACTAAACCGAATAACTTTTTTTCCATTTAAAGAAAAAAAATCACAACGTAGATGGAGGTGGTTGGCCTGGTTTGGAGTCGGCCAAACAAGACCATGAAAGAAGATAGTGACCGTGACCGTGACCGTTAAGTAAATAATTAATTCAATTTAATTGTGATTAGTTCGTTTCAAAGCCGGTCTAATCTCTTTTGATTTTTCTTTCAACCAAAGTAGAAAAAATAAGAAAGAAAGATTGGCCGCTCTGGCGGCACCTCCTAAGCTAAGCTATTTGCCTTTTTTTCACATTATTTTATTTTTTTTATTTATTTATTTATTTTTGTGATTGGTGAGTCTTTCACATTACTTGGCCAATAATATAAATTATTACGTGTACAATAAAAATTGTATAAAAACTAA